CTGCTCCAGGAGCAAGCCAGAATCCAGTTTTAATCGGTGGTGGGAGAGTTTTTCTTTATAGGACTTGGAGAGAAAGTCACAGAGGTGACTCCTGGGGTAAGCATACTCATTGCCATTAATAGAGGGAGCAGCAGCAGGTCATTTCTCTGCAGTTGCTTGGTGCCTCTGGCAGCCACCGGGCCGGCCCAGAAAAAATGGGAATTCATTAACTTGTAGCTAGCGGGAGTGCTGAGACACTTGGGCAGAGCAGGACGTGCCCAACAGCACAATGCGGAATGGCTCAGGGTTACAGGCCTTGGCCAGCAAGAAACCTGCTGGTCTGGACCTGCCAGGTGCAGTGCATGGTGCTCTCCTGCTCTGTGCTGGCTTCACGAGGGCTGCATGGACAGTGTCTCAGCTCCCGGCTGACAGAGAGGAATCACGGCTGGGCTGGTCTGTTCACACCCGGCATGGCCACAGTCAGAAGACAGGACGCCAGTGTGGCTGTTACGTTCTTAGCTGGGGAATGATGGTTTGCCAGGCGGACCACGTTGCTGAGCCTAGCCCAGCGCTGACTGACAAAGTGGGTTTTTGCCCATGGAAGCATATGCCACAGGACTCCTCTCATTGTGCTAGTCTCAGCTCACAGGCCTCCTAACAAGGTGACCATTTCAGTGTGATGCCTGAAATGTGACAGCAACACCTTGGCTGTGTCTAGGGTCTACACTGGCCGCTTGAATTTCCACAAAAGCACTGACCATCTCTTGTAAGATTGTGAGTGTTCTTGTGGAAATACTGTGCTGCTCCCGTTCAGGCAAAAGTCCTTTTGTGCAAAAGGGCCAGTGTAGACAGCTCAGATTTGTTTTCCGCAAAAAAGCCCCGATCACAAAAATGGCGATGGGGCTTTTTTGCGGAAAAGCACGGCTAGATTGACACGGATGCTTTTCCACAAAAAGTGCTTTTGCACAAATGCGCCCCTGCCAATCTAGACGCTCTGTTCCAAAAATGCTTTTAACAGAAAACTTTTCCGTTAAAAGCACTTCCGGAAAATCCTGCCAGGCTAGCCGCAGCCCCGCTGTGCTAATACCACTATTGGGCAAGCAGCGGATAGATGGGGTGCAGTTGTGAGCAAGCCCCGCCCTGGCCAGGCTGGAGGGCCAAGCGTCACAGTTCTGCTGTGCTGTGTGACTAACAAGAACCCAGTCTGACAAGAGCGCGTCTCTTGCCCTCAGGCCTATAGATACTTGGAGGAGATGCGGAAAAGAATTCCATGTGTAAACCTGACCTACTACGTCAATCAAGGGACCATTGAAGCAGTGCACAGAGGGCTGGGCATCCCCTTGAACCGGAACCCTGGCCCAGAACGCATTCGCCACAACAGTATGGAAGACAAGGAGGTGGAGGAGGACGTGGCTGATGAAGTGGATGGTCCTTGAGGGCTTTCTGCATAAGCTGGCACCATTCATGGGAGGCTGTGAGGAAGTTTTGCCATTGCTACAGTAGCCAGCTGCTGGTCTAGTCTTGTGTAGAGCTCAGTCAGACACGGCTGCAGTGCACTGCCTGATGCTGCAGCCTGCACGGTTCACACCATCTGCTGGAGCACCAGTTCCGAGCAGGACAGGCTGAGTCCCAGACCACGGCTCTGACTCTGTAATGTCCAGGGTTACATTATTTTTAATATTTCAATAAATTAAGGAAAAAAGGAATGTCTGAGTGTCAGTAAGGCAGCAGATATACCTGATGCCATAAGCACAGGAGCAGCAGCACCGTGACTGCTGAATTGAGCCCATCTATGTCTAAGGGAAGCAGTGTGGTTAAGACATTTTGCACTGATATGCTAGGGCCCCAGGTCTAGTCAAGGACAAGCTGTCAAAACTCAAGAGCACAAGGGCTTTGCAACCATTTTCTGAGACATTGGGGCCAGCAGCATGAGTGACTGTGCCTTGTCAGCAGTCAAATCGTGTCCTGCGGACCGCTAACTCGGCCCTGATCACCCAGCCTGCTAGATCTTGTTTCATTTAGCAAAGTCTCCCCCGCCGCAGTGCTTGCAATCATGAAAGAAAATTTTGCCACCGCCCAGGCTGGCGTTTGAAGCCGGTCACTGAAACCAAACCCTGGCTTAAGAGAGGATACTGTTCAAGACCTTGGCTTGATTTTACCTGGGGAAAAAATCTTCCTCGTGAAGTGTCAGACCCATTCGTACCAGGCTTTGTTCTAAAAGGAGGCGGTGAATTCCCTGCCTGTGGAGTGGCGTGAGCGTTGCTACGCAGCACGACGCGGGGCTAACAGCGTCAGACTCTCCCCCCGACAGCTCCTGAGCTAGAGCCCAGGCTGTGCTTCTGGCAGCCGTGTCATGCTGGTGGGCGAGAGCTCACCTGGCAACACCATAAAACCGGTTTGGCACTTAACTGTGGGGCTATGTCTACACTGGCGGGGTCTTGCATAAGAACTCAGTGCGCAAGGGTTTTTCTGCAAGAACTCTTGCACAAGGTAACGTCCACACAGCCGCGTGCTTTTGCGCAAGAGCATCCGTGGCAGTGTGGATGCTCTCTGGTGCAAAAAAGCTCGGATGGCCATTTTAGCCATAGGGCTTTCTTGTGCAAGAAACCCCTGCCGGGCGTCTACACTGCCCTCTTGCCCAAGAGAGCTTTACACAGTCTTGCACAAGAAGCCCTCTCCTACCATGCTTTACTGTAAATCTTGCACAAGAGCAGGCGGGCAGCTGTTCTTGCACAAGAACCCACCCGTGTAGACATAGCCTGTCACTTGGGCCTTTTGTGGCCATGCTGCTGTTATCCCCAGAAGAGAAACAAGGTTTCCAGCAGCCACCTCGCCCCTTCCACGCTGCCGGTGCTGAAGGGGAGGGTCAGAGAGTGAAGTGTCAACACTTACGGAGCGGGTTGGAACAGCATTCAGGCGTAACTCAGTGCAGTCCCCTGGTAAGAACAGGACATCCCAGCACCAGGTTTGCTGCCAGACTGCAGCTCGTGCAGGGCTCAGGGGCCTGGGCTTGCCCAGCTTCCCACCACATTCAGCCTATTCCCACTTGCTGAAAAGGGCCCTTGTAACGAGCACCACTCCCGGCGCCAGGAGCCCCATGCCAGCTGCTTCCCTACAGGGGCCCCATCTCCTCCTGTTTTCCTGGAGAGGCTCTGATGGGAAGCCTTGGTGATATTTGTAGCTGAACACACATCTGCCAAGGCTACGAAGAGCTGGGCCAGAGCGTACAGGAGAGGGGGAGGCGTAGAGGACAACAGCACTAGGCCACTTCCCCCGCATGGTACCGGATCGCCCCCATTAGAGGTAAGAGGGCAGGTTGGCTCCCTGGCTTTTGCTCCTTACCCCTCTCTCCCGGCGCCAGCCCTGGCATTAGTGACCATGCAGCTGGCATGCAAGGCAAAGGGCAGCTCTTTTCTATTCCCCCACCACATCAGAGTTTCTTTAACAGGTTCTCCATTAGCAGCAGATTGTGGCAGGCCAGCCTCCTGCAGTCCCCATCCGGGTCCTTCTCAGCTACATCTGCAAAAGAGGACGATGCCGTTAGCTGACAGTGGGAGGAAGACACAGATGCTTTTTACAGTGGTTTCCTGACCTGCTGAAATCCAGGAACTGTGACAGGAAACTAAGCCGCTGGGCGAGCATGCAGCCCTTCTGGCACTGCCCAGAGCTAGGCCCAGCAGAGACGCACCGCTTGGCAAACAGCTATGCTCGGCTTGCTTAGATCAAGCACAGATGTCAGCCCGCATTGCATGCTCTCGCAGAGATACTACCTAGTGCTTTCACGCTAGTGCTTCGAATGTTAGTTCCAACATGACTGCCATGGGGGTAGGGACGGAAGGGACTTGGGAACCTGACAGCAGGGAAAGGGTCAGGTTTTAAGGCAGCTTCTAAATCTTGTGTGCGCATATATATTAGCACAGTCACCAACAGATCCCACCATCACATGCACAAATGGGTGTAGTGGAGACTAGAAGTAGCCCGAGTATTGTGTTGGACAAGTCCGAGCCATCAGAAAGCACCGTGAGCTGTGCGCACCACGGCACTCGCCAATTGGCCGAACGAGGAGCAATGGTCTCAAGCTGTCACGGGGGAGGTCAAGGTTGGCTAGACGGTAGGACCGTGGTGCAGCACTGGTACTAGGGAGGTGGTAGAATTGTCATCCCTAGAGGGTTCTACAGTCCTGGCTAGGATGGTTTAGCTTTGGGCAGGGGCTGGACTTGATGAGCTCCAGCCCTAGGATTCTATGAACACCATGAAACGGTTCTTTCAGAAGCCTGTAATGGGCTCAAAGTAAAAACTCAGGATGTTGGAGCAGGAGGGACCCTGGAAGAGCAGAGAGCCTGTGTGAGGATATCCTGTACGCACAAGCAGTGTGCTCAGAGTCCAGGACTGGCGGCCTAAGCACATGACTCACACGGATGGAGAAGGGTTATTTATAAACTCAGGGAGAGCTTCAGGCTGGGGTTTCCCAACTCTCTGTGGGGGAAGCAGCCAGAGGAGTGTACAGCCCCGGTGCTCTGAAGCTGGAGATGCCAGAGCATGGAGCTTGAGCTAACTATGCTGCAAGCGGGTAGGGCCACAGCCAGGAGCACGATGCTGCAGCTCACTGAAGTCCTGACATGAGAAGACAAACGTGCCCTGCAAACTGCTCCAGGCCTCAGGTGGGTGAAGGGGATTCCCTCCCAGGCCTCTGCAGATGAGCCAAAGAAGGGCTCGTATCTGTCCGAGATGATGCTGAAACTGAAGTTTAAGGCCAGGCACAGCACCCAAGGGAGTGGCCCATTAAGTGCTGCTTAGAACGTTCGCTCTGCAGCGGGCGCTTTTCAGAAGTCTGCGCCTCCTCCAGCCCAGGGCGGCCCCTCCCTTTCAGGGCGGCCAGCAAGGCAGCATTTGCAAACAGGTGCTCCCCGGCAGAGGGCAGGGGAATTCTGCAGTACCCGACGGAGCCACTGGCTGCACATGCCAGTTCTCTCTGGGATGGAATCTGAATGGGAGGGGCTGTGCAGACTTGGGTGCTCAATCTGCTGCTGCTACTATGCTCTTTGATCCTGCCCTCGTCACCGTGCTGTCTGCAGCGCCACCAACACGCTAGCTTCCTAGCACCGCACGAGACAGCCCCGCGATTGGCTGCAGACACGAAACGGAGAGGCTACTATCCCCGTCCTGCCAAGAAAGGCTACAGCACCCAGACCACGATGCTCCCTGTACTGAGCCTCGGACAGGCCTTTACAACATCCTGGAAAGACCCCTCGGGAGGGAGGCAGATTCCTGAGCACGCACCATGTCACATGGCCCAGGTGGCTTCTCTCTCCCTTTAAGGGCACAGAGCTATAGAACCCGCAGGGATCAGAGACCGGCTGTGTCGGTGTCACTTCCTGCCCAGCCCCCATGGGAAGCCAGGTTTTGAAACGTCAGGATGGTGAAGGAAACCAGAGAGGGCCGAAGAACAGCGAGGGCGGGATTAGCACAGAAACCGTCCAAACCTGGCCCAAGGCCGCGAGCGCACAGGCCCACTGCCTCGCGCAAGTTTCCAGCATGGCCCCTCCCAGGCCATGCAGCCCCCGCGCTCCGACAGGCGCTCGCTTCCGTCAACCCCAGGTCTGCTCCGTAGCCCTCAGAACCCTGGGCAGGGGCCAGGCCCTGCGGCTCAGCCTCAGCACCATGGAAACAGGGACAGGAGGAGGCACCCCATGTTCCTGGTTGTGCAAACCTTGCTTTCCAGGAGGGGCAGAGGGTCTGGCCTGCTAGGACCTGTAGTCTCTGGGAGTCATATTGCCAAGGGAAGCCACGGGGATGACAGCAGCCTATGGGCCATGTTTGGCCTTGGGCTGAGCGTCTGGATGCCTCTGCAGCACAGACTGGACTGATAATCTAGCTCCTTCTTAACCTAGGTGCAGCATGCACATCAGCAGCAAACCCCCTTCCGCCCTAGAGACATTACACCCTCCCCCGTACCTGCCAGCCAGGACTGGGTCTCCAGGAACTCGTCTGTCATGTCCTCCAGCAGGCGCTCACTAGGGACACTCAGCAGGGTGGAGGAAACTGCAGACAGGAGGCCCTGACGCACGTACCTGGTGAAGAAGCAACGACCCCGTGAGAGGCTGCAGCTTCCTTCTCTGCCCTTCAGCTACAGACCATATTAGCTGCGCTGTGTCACTGCCTCCAAGTGAGCAGGGATATAACCAGAGTCAGCTGACCGGGTCCCCCTGCTCAGCTCCATGCTTCCACCCAATAGAACGGGAGCTAGTCTCTTGCTCCCTGGGCCAGAAGAGGCTGGGGGTTACGAGATGGGTTCAAGACCCTGAGTTACCCTGCGCCCCTGGGAAACTCTTCCATGGTGAAGCCACCTCGTGGATCTCAGCCAGGACAACACCTGGACGTACTTTCACCCCAGGAAGGGGCCAGAGCTAAGCAGAGAATTGTGCATGAAGTCACCCACACAGGCTCCGTCAGGTAATGCTGTGCCAGAGAGAGACACGTCCCGGTAAGAGCACCTGGCCCTCATCCTCCCCTCAGCAAGCCAGCCCCCACACACACAACTCACGCGTCCGTGTGGAAGCGCAGGGCCCAGACGAACTCCAGCAGAGCCTTTCCCATGGCAGTGGCTGCCTGCATGACATGAGTGAAGAGAACACAGTGACGAGGTAGCTTTTCCCACACTGACCCAAAGGGATGTGGACTTGGGCATGGCTGGGACCACACGCAATGGGTAAAAGACCTCGGTGGCCCTCTGGGGAACCCACTGCCTCTTAAAGCATCACACAAACTGGGGATTCCTGCCTTCGGGCCCTTGTGGGAAGTAGGGCTGGAAAAATCAGTTACTGGTTAAACATTTGGCTGCCCAGCAAAGCAGGATCCAGGCTGGGGACCACTCCAGCCCAACTCCCCCAGCCTCTGCCGGAGCAGCCTCTGCCTGTGGCAGGGGGGGAGG